GGATAGTACCGGCAGACATGCGATTTGGCGAATCATTACTGGGCAAGAGGAGAGACGGTGACAAGCGCAAATGGCAGGGTCTGAATCATGCCACGCTATGCGTATTTGCTTGAAACTGACTTGTAATAACTTCTTTGGATGCCTTTCCCGCGCCTGGGGAACTTGTTACATGGACAGACATTGCGCATGAGAATTGCTTCAAAAATGCTATTCAGCGCTTCACACGCCTGATCGTAGCCGCACTGCAGAAGATCAATCGCTAAACGCTGCAGCAAAACCTCGTGAAACGTCAGATCGGGAACTACTTGAGGGCACATTCCTGATGAATGCGATTTTCTTCGTCTTCCGTATAGAGGCCCTTTTATCCCCCATATTTCCATTCCCTTTCGCTTCTCATTATGATTTATTCATTTGGATAAATGTGCAATCATTGGTGTCTAAATGTAACCACTTGATTCTATATGATTTAATGAGGAGATATTCCGCCGCGTCCATCGCAGTCCATTTACCGCTGCAGAGTTGCATATGTCCCTAGTTCTCTCCAGCCCATCAGATCCTCCCAATATCGTCAACGCCTCGATGGGCCTTTCTGACTGAGAGCACTCCCATGCCGCTTGCAGAAAGTGCATCATTGCGCGCTCATCTGTGAGGCGCTTTCGCGAAAGCAGCCTGTGCACAAGGGCGTTCAACAGCCGTCGCAATGAGCATCCATTTTATTCACCGGCGGCAACACAGCACCACCGGAACACAACCGCCAATTTTCCAACATTGACTCATGAACAATACCCACTTGTAATAACTGGTTCTCAGAAATCGTGTTCTATCCAAATAAGAATGTAATGGCCGTGCACAGAGCAGCCGCGTTACTGAGCTGTCTATCGGCATTCATTCTGGACGTCCGCACATATATTACTGAAAGTATGCAGCCGGCACAAATATCACATTTCATCCACACATTCACAGAAGCTCTGTATGGACGACGAAATTCAGCGCTCAGCCAAAAGCTCTTTGTTTCATGAACACACAAGCATCGCCAAACAATTTGGTCTCACACATGTGTGAAAGCCCATGAACTTGCCGGAATGTGCGCCATGAGTCCGGTGTGTTCTCTTGGCTTGACGACGAGGCTGACTTCTTATTCCCCCGTCCAGCAAGTCCGGAGCTGCCCCCATTTGATTTGTCCTTTGGAGGATGGTCGTATCGGCACTTTGCACCAAACTTGCATTCCCCTGTTTTTACAAAATGTTTGCACGCTTCCTTTCCTGGCCGCCTGGGATGTTCCCCTTCGTCCGCCTCGCAGCCAGAGTGCTCGGGTGGATGGTCGAATTTGCACTTTTGTCCAAAGCCACAGCTTCCCGTCTTCATGTAGTAACGGCATGCCGGCTGTCCTGGCCTCCTTGGAGGCATATTGATCCTGTGGCTTGGGGAACAATTGCAGTATTCATTGCCATTGTTCTCTTCTTTAATTTTTTGATTATTGAATGCAAAATGGTTCATTTTTTGTATAGTATTCTGCTTTCTCTGTCCAACATCAAATATCCACGAGTGGAAACACAAAATTCGTTGAAGGGGAATTCGTTTCCTCAAAACCACAAAGGAGTTCACAGCCGAAAATATTGGATCCCCAAAATCTTAGCTCCAATTCGGGAAAAAAATGAGCACCGCTCCCTTTGGGCGTTGGGCGAAGGTAAATTTTGGTCGTTTTTGAGTCAAAAATTCGAGGTTTAGTGGGACAAAGGACTGTTGCTACAGAGTGCTGCCAAATCTAAAATACTGAACGGATTGACGTGATTTTCTCACCGCATACTCCAAACTCACAAGCGCAATCTTGAATCAAGTTTCATTGCAAAAAGAAGCGTGTGTGATGGAGCCTAATGCGCCAAAGCCGTACAGGACTTTTAATACAGGACAGAGGAAACGCATATGAACGAAATGTTGCCCTGTTGGCCCGTGCACTACGCCAAAAACTGACCGTGCAATCGCCAAGTTCGCCGGAGGCGGATGTGATTTCCTACAATTAGATCCTGTCGAGAATGCGCACACTGGCCCCTTTTCAACTCGGTGCGGAGCAGTGCTTCCCACCTACTTTTCCTTGACTTGCCCAATACCATTGCGAAAACAAGGGAAGAAACATGTAAGAACAACTTGGTCGCAAAGGCGCGCTTGCAACTGCTTTTCGCAACAATTGGTGCGTTTCCGCATCCCCAGGTGCAAGGCGAAAGTGTGTACGTTTTGCGACCGAGCAGAATGACATTTAGTAAAAGGAACGACATTATGAAACTGGGTAATGTACAGCGGACGACCTGCCCGCCAGCGCACAGGTTGCCGCACCGAGAAGCCGGAAGACCGAGAGGCCCGTGCCCCATGCCGTCACTACTTGGCGAGGCGCGGTTTCAAATGCTGATTCTTACGGGCAGTGCAGATGCACCTGCTGGGATCCCGCCCCTGGTGCCGAAAACGAAACCACAGGAAATTGTGGTCCACCTTGTGCGGGCGGCCGACAAAATCCCGACCGGAAACGACGGGACGGTTTTCCGACATAAATTTGGCGCCGACAGATGGATCGCTGCACAAAGCTGGCATCTGAGAGCAACGGAGAAGGGTGACAGCAACAGGGAAGTCGGATGCCTCTGGGCTGTGGACTTTCGACACGTCAATCTGCCGATCGTCGCAGACAATGTAAATATGGCGTTCGACGGGAGCCACGACGCTCGGCAGAAAGCCAGGGACACCAACCGCGGTGCCCACCCAACGGAGATCCCCCCATCGCTGGGTGCGTCAAATGCTGGCATCGAATTGCCTTACCCGCGGCCCGTCGGCCTTTGCTGCCTTTCTTCCCGCTCCTTTCACCGAACAGCGAGCGTTACCACCTCAGGGCAGGGTAAGATCTCCCGCCGTGCGTCACGCACTTTCGCGCACGCCTTTCGCCCTTGCATGGGGTGGAGGCGCGCGGGTCGGTATGGAGGACGCAAGTGCGGTGGGCCCTTCATGGCCTATGCGACCTCCGTGCCCAACACGGAGGCGGCCGATGTGACGTTGCGTTACTCCCTTCCCGTCACGCTTCGTTGCGTGACGCAACGCCGACAACACAAAGGTAACGGTGCCCTGTTTCGATGCGACATGGAATGCAAAAGCGATGTAAACCCTGCGCTGGACTCTGCGTTGCGCCCTGCCTCAGAGGAGCTGGCTATCTGTGCGATCGAAACAGTGGGGCATGCCCAGCTGCTGTGTCGCTATCGCAGAGTGGTGAGTGCGTTTTGCCGGCCTCACGATTCCATGCCGCGCCGCCGGAGCCTTCGTTTGGGATCAAATGCGAAAGATATTGAGCCGGATGGGCGGGTGGGATTCGGAGAGAATGGGAGGGGAGGTGTGCGGAGAAGCGGTGGCGGGAAGCGCTGAGCCGCCATGGCAGCAGCCCCAACCGGCGTTGTCGGAACGGCGGACAATGCGTTTGTCTCCTTGGCGTTACAACACTTACTTGGTGGCGGGAGCGAAGGAAAGTTCGCGCATCCGACGCGATTGACAGTGGGCGTGGACCTGTCCCGCACTAAGCAGAGCCGGCGGGAATCGCCTTGAAAGCCGGCGAGTGTCAGCCCCAACGAAACAACGCGCTTTAAAGCCGGAGCTTCGAAGCCAGATTCGGGGCCAAGGCAAGCGTGGGCACGTGGCCGCGCTTGATGTGAGTTCCGTGAGAACCACAACAAAGTCGAGAGTCCGACTGCTCTAGCGCCCGCAATTCTATCGCGTGGATTCTCAAACGTTGAAAAGTTTGTAGCAGGGGAGCGAATCCAGGCACAAAAAGACCGTCCACGCACAAAAAAGCGTTACAACCTTGGAGCATGTTTGGGAAATGGACTGCAGTGCAGTCGATGCGGCGGACTGCCAGCCGTGGACTGCCGGCACCACACCGTGGCCAGCGGGCCTCGCCAGCTGCGAAGAGGGAGAGAAATGGTCCGCTTGCACTCTCCTCTGCTGGCCGGCACAGTGTCACCCGGTGGATGGGACTTCTTCCTTTTTCTAATCCACACGTTTGGGTGATTACCAATGCATATAGCCCTCAGCAATAGGGTTGGACGTGTTGCGTGAGCCCCAGAAAAAACTCTTGTTGTTGCAAGCTTCTGTTTGTGCCAACCAAAACCCCACATCGGTTGCCAATCGTTCAGTTTATTGGCACGTTCACAACAGACATTCCTTGCAGTGAATATCCGGGCATCGCTGAACAACCACTCAGTCTGACACATGTTGCCAACAGTAGAGCGCGTTCCTAAGTAACAAGGTACTCGTTGAGCATGGATAACGTGCCCGTGCAGTTGTGGCCACTCATCAACCCTCTGGTGGTTGGCAAACTCGCTGAAACCAGCAAGAACCCAGAAATGCAACTCAACCTCCTGGGTTGCATCAACTCTGGTACAATTCTTTATTAAACAGATGGAAGCCACAGATCGTGCGATGTAACCAATGCAACCCCATAGCCACACCGCAACTACAATATTCTCTGATTCGGCCTGGCCTTGGATACACATGCCAGGAGTTCCAAAATTAGCACTGGCTATTATGAGCAAGGCGTTCGAAATACCCCTATGCATGTTCAACAACTGCTACCCATTCTGTACAAGCTCAGCTCCCGCAAACCTGAGCTCAAAATTGCAACCATCACACAAGTTGATGACTGGAACACAATCCAAACTACTCCACACCAAACCGCACCTGTATGGATGGACAATCACTACTCCCCTACTAGCACCCTGTGGCATCACCACCTAGATGCTGCCAACAATTCACATGAGCAACCACACGTGAAATCCACGAACTTCCCTGGTGCCGATTCCTGTAGTTTGCTCGATGCAGACCAAGACAGGCAGCACAGACTTGGGCATCCCCAGCACAGCAGCATCCCCACCTTGTTTGCCTGCCTACCCACTCCCGGCAACTAATAAACAACAGAAACCTGCAATGGACCAAGGTCCTAACCCAAGGCACTACTTCAGCGTGCATGTTTGCTATCGCACAGGGATCTCAACCTCCCGCAGGAGCTCCTGCACAGCAAGCCTCTGGGACAACTGGCGCAGCAGCTCCAGCGTGCCGCACACCAAGCTGTTATTGTCTGAAGTTTGCAGCTCCAGCAGCCTCTCCAAGCTCTTTGGCGTTGCGATGACCATCTGCGATGGCTCCGAACTGGCAAACCTGCACAGCGCCTGCACCGCGGCGTCCACCAGCTCCAACCCCTCTGCGAACAGCATCTCCACAAGCAAGGGCACCGCGCCGTCCTCCTCGAACTGCTTCCTGAAATCCGATTTCACACACAGCGCTGCGAGCGCCTGGCACAGGGACGCCTTGTGCTGGTCGGGACTGGCCTGGTCACTCAGCCTGTCCCTGAGCGTGGCGATGATCCCGGTCTTGCGGAGCATGCCCAGGACTGAGGAATTAGCACACAGGCACGCCAGGAAGCTCACCACCCCCGCCTGGTTCCTGCTCCCCCCCGCCCCCTCCACATCCATGCACTGCTCCAGCTGCAGCAGCGATGGCTTGGACACCCACCGCATCTTCTCCGCGCCCTCCCGCAGCGCCCCGTGGCACGCCGGTACCTCCGCAACCACCGCCAGCACGTCCAGAGCCGTCTGGGACGGCCCCGAGGAGCTCTGCCACATCTTCAACAATTTTGGCACCAGGCCCGCTTCTGTCACCTCGGTCTTCAACCCAGGCGGCCCGCCAACCAGCAGCTTGAGAATCAGCGCCAGGGCGGAGTGCACCACGTCGGACTCGCTGGCGCCCATCAGCTTTGCCAGCACAGCGAAGAGCTCGCCGTCCCCCCTGCACTCCTCCGCCGCGCCCCCGTCCTCGCACAGCCTGGCCAAGAGATCGAGCACCGCCGCCAGCAGGGCGGCCTTATTGCGGTACCTCCCCGCCGGCGGGCCCCCCACCTCGCCCCCCAGCCTCTTGGCCGTCCGCGTGGCCTCGGACACGAAAGTACCGGCCACAATGACCGCCACATTCTCCTTGCCCACAGCAAGGGTCCCCAAAGCGCGGGCGGCGGATATCCTCAACCGGTAAACATACCGCCTTCGCAGCAATCTGGTGAGCCTGGGCACAGCCCCCACCCTCACGGCTTCATCGCGCACGTCCTTGTCCAGCGCCAGGTAACGAACGGCATCCGCGGCGGCCAGCCTGGCGCGCATGTTCCTCGACTTGAGCAGGGGCACCAGGCGGGGCACGGCGCCCTCGCGGAAAATCCACGTCCGGTAGAGTGGCCGCACAGCGGCGTATAGGCCCAGCAGGCGCGCCGCCTCCTCCCTCCGGCCGGAGTTCTGGGACCGCAGCTGCTGGGTGAGGTGCTCGATCTCGTGCGCCCGCACGTTGAGCACCATGTTGCGGAACGCCGAGGACAGGATGTGGGCCAGCAGCTGGACGGCGCGGCCCGTGCCGCAGCTCACCAGCAGGCCAAGGCCGGCATCCAACCCGCCCTTGATCCCGTCCATGCCGGCTAGAACACCGGGGTTTCAACCCCGGCCGCTCAGGCACACGGACCCCGCCACGGGACCGCCAGAAGCCCTAGCGATGGGCGCCCTATTCGCAGCCCTATCCACAGGAATCCCAATCCGCCCGTCCTCAAACACTGCCGCGTTCTGCAAATGGCCCTTGTCCCCCTTGCCCGGCCATGCAAAAATGCTTCTCGCTCCGATTGCTCCGCACGGTGCCGCCTGCTCGCCGCTCACGGGTGGATGGCGATGCGCTGCTGAGGCCTGTGGAAGTGGAGTGGGGGGGGGTCTACTGCCCGCCGCGAGGCGTTCCCCCCGCCCCGTGTGCTGGCGCCGGCGTGGCCACCGTGCCCCTGTGTGCGGACAGATTGGGGCGCATCAATCGGGGGGCTCCATATAGCCGATCCTTGGGGAGGGGGGCAGCTGATGTGAGAACTAAGGCAGGACAACAGCGTACATGCGGGCTTCTGGGGATAGGGGTTCTCTCTGAGGGGGGGAGGTGTCGTAGTCAGGACCTCAGCTGGTCCATTCTGAGTTTGTTCTCGTCTATTCTGGTCTACGCTCCTCTTTTCTGGCCTATTCCTGTCTGCTCAGGCCCAGTTTGTTCTACTTTGTTGTTGAATGTTGTCGTCCGCTTCGAGTTGCCCCAGAGTGCCTGGCATTTGGGCAGTGTGCGCAGCGGCTCGAATGTGTTTGAGAAACGGCATAATTCCTGGCGCTTGTGCGAGCCAGTTTTTTACGCGCTTTTTGTGCTCGAATGGAATTTTTGCACGCTGTGGCTGACGGCCTCTCACTGCCTGGTATGGCTCGAGTACGCCCCCAGAGCAATAGTAGAATCGGTGATAATCGAATGGCACAGTACTGACCGTGGGTGCATGAGATAGCTGTGAATGTGCACGAGACAGCTGCATCAAGTCCTGAAAGCTTCATGGAGCAAATGCAATGAAGCAGATGTGCTGGATTCGTCCAGCCATCAGACAAATGGCGCGTCTGGCGTGGATGGGCGAAGATCACAAAAAAATAAACAGAAAAATTCGCAGAAGCGCGGCAACAACTAGCCCCATGCGTAGAGCTCCCAATGAAACACAGCAACCCACCTAGATAGCCAAAAGAAATACCGAGGGGGCTCTGCGGGTGATTCTCCTGCAAGGTAACGTGTGCTGCTGCACCAAATACTAGCACATCTTCAGACTGCAGTGCGGTCGCATGCACGTGCAGATTCTGCAATTGATGACCCCAGATGCTCACATGGAGGCCTTTCATGCCAGCGGCAGCTCTCGGCATCCATGGCAGCACCCCAATGAGTCTCGCATTCGTTTTCCATAGGCAGAATCTAAGACTTTTTTTTGCCAACTATCACTTTCGCTTTATTTGAAGGCCAACTCCAACGTTGACAGCAGGGTGGAGGACTCGCGACTCAGACATTGAGGCTCTCAGGATATCTAAGCAGCACTGCCGTATTGATCAATACGCCTCATGAGGCGCTTGTGCACTTTCCTTACTCTGGCCACCATTTTTTCTAGAATCAATCACTCGTCGTCAGTGGGACTTCATTCGCACAATGGGCCCCCAAACGATTCGTAACTCAGGTGGACGAGCATCAGGCTCCCAGCTCGCCCATACAAATGCAGATTCAGGCCGTCTTGGGGACAACCAATTCGAGCATGTTCAGATTGCGCAGGGGTGTGCTTCCCCAATAGCGTCGGAGCAGCGCTGCGAAAAAAGATGAGGAATCCGACTCGGCAACGCCAGCGATTTCTCTTCATTCAGTCACTGATTCCCGGTCATCTGCAAGCCCCTGGCAGTCTCCGACAACTCTCAAAAACTCAACAAAACCAAATTATCCGTGTGACGATTGGGAAAATTGGGACGGACGACGTGCCGTACTTACTACGTGTGCCGCACCGAAAAACCTATCCCACTGATTGCGGATAGCGAATTTCACATGCTTTGGCATGACGGCAAGGCCTACGTCGTGCCATGTACGGGTGGTTTTCGTGGCAAGTTCCCCGCATTGGGCACAGCAGGGTGGCGGCCAATTTAAATGCACTTGTAGTAAGTAGTCAGCAATAAATTTGAAATGTGATTTCCCCTTGCTGCTGAGCAACTAGGGCCCATCAAAGGCTTAGTCGACACTTGTTTTTCTGATACTATTACCCTACGGTTTTCTCAGAACACAACAAAATTTAAGTGCATGCAAACCGCAGCTTCTGCCATCCTTCAATCACGATCCCAAGTGGTTGCATGCGTTTGGGATGCTGCCTTTACATTACGCACCCTTACTTGTTTGTCCAGCAGAAGCTATAAACATTTTCTGGCAAGACAACAACGATTGGCCGGTGAGTTTGCACGAAGTTGTTACCTGCCAAGTACAGATTTTCTTTAGTCCATCGCTACTTCCCACAACAAGCATTACGGCTCAGATTTCGAGATGCGATTAGGAACCCCACAACTTCCACAGCTGACCTAGAAAGTGGCTTGTACTCTAAAGTAACAAAACTACAATCGAATAATTAGTTTCCAGATGTCCTAGGAAACTCAAGGACTCATTGGTGCACAGGGTACCTCAATAGAAAGGCCCCAAGTGTGAGGACATAGGCCGTTTTGTCATCCATGATGGTTGTGAATTTGGGCAGTGTGTATCACCGCAAAAGAAAACGACTGAACCGAAACTGGTGGAGGCTACCAACGCAATCACGAGCTCGTCGACCATTTTCGCACACATGTAACTGCAAGCAAGCAAATCCCCTTTTAGCCCTGCCCAAGAGTATCCAAATGTTGGGCACAGACGAATGATATAACTACAATGCACACAGAGGCAACCACTGCTGAAAAGCTGTCAGGCACCAAACCCCAACGGAGCTTTGGTTGCGGTCTTTTGAGGTATCTGCCCCGAGGGGTGATGGAGCCCCAGTGCTCGAGCTACACCTAGCCTGTGTGTTGAATCACATGCTTGGAACGGCGACCAATCGACAGCAATGAGACGGATGCCATCCACCTAATGAAACCGTGGTCGTCGCCGGACGCCGAGAAATGCAGTGGTTAAACCTCATTCCTCGACACCCAAGCGCAGCCCTTCAACCGGTGCCCGCGAGCAGCCCTCCCCGCCTGCAAATCGAGCCACCCACACCCGAGTGGTTTGTAGCCCTTGGTTGTACCGCTTTCACCCAAAAACGTGGGATTCTCAGCCCCCTGCCCACTGTGGGCCGAAAGTACACCGCCCACCCAAAACACACAATGAAACCTTGGGAACGGCGAGAGCCGAAGAACCGGATCAGGACATGGGCACAAATCATGGGGTGCTCCTCCGGGCACGTGGCCCCCCCGCCCGCTGCCCAGCTGTTCCAAAAGGCGCCCGCTGGCATCCCACGCGCGCCGATACCCCACCCTGCTCCCCCTCGCCGCCGACGCGCCCCGCCCCACCATCATGGCCCCCTCAGCGCTCCTGTCCTCCCCCACGGCGCCGGTCGCCCGGTCGCATCCCCGCCATGCCGCGCGTCGCCCTTGCCCCCCGAGGATGGCGATCTGCCGCTCGAGCCTGATGGCGCCGCGATCGCTGAGGTTGGGGATCGCGTCGAGGGTGGACGGGGTGCGCGGGCGAGGCCTGCGGCTGGTCGTGGTGGCCGCCAAGCGATCGGTGGGGGACCTGAGCGAGGGGGAACTGAAGGGGAAGAAGGTTCTGGTGCGGGCGGACCTGAATGTTCCACTGGACGAGGGGCAGAACATCACGGACGACACGCGGATAAGGGCGGCGGTGCCCACGCTCAAGTACCTCACGGACAACGGAGCCAAGGTCCTGCTCACGTCGCACCTGGTAGGTCGTTCCGGCTCGGGCGGCGGTTTGCCGCCTTTCGCGATTGTCGCATTTTGATTGTCGGGAGGTGGAGTGGATCGAGGGGATCGCGCTTCTGCGGACGGTCAGCGATAGTGTCTGGGGACGGAAGGGGAGGCGCTGGATCTGATTGGCGCCCTCCTTCCGAGAGGGAAGTTGTTGAGGCGCTTGTTCCGCGCTGCGGAAGATTATTCGGCCGCCCGGGAGCGGGTATATTGGAGCCCTTCGGGATGAGAAGGGGCATGGGCGAAAAGGCTGATGCCTTTGCCGATGCGCGGGACTGGGCGGAGGCTGGAGAGGGGAGGGGTCGGCTCTGCTGCCGTCGTGAGGCCTGCGAGGGTTGCTGGGCTGCGCTGGTGCTGGCGGGAGTGAATGGACAACGTCGCGGCTTTCGCGGTTGGCGTGCCGCACCGGTCGAGGCGATCGGCTGGCTCGATCGTAGCACCAGTGCCGGGACGTGTGATGGGATCATGAGTCTGTCGGGATTGGTATCTCTCCAAGCTGCCGAATGGCATGTTCGTTTGCCTTTGTTGGTGACGCCCGAAACGCTCTGCCGCGCAGCTGGCGACAGACGTCGCAACCAGTGCGACGTGCTAATTACGGTGCAAGGCTCTCTTTCTACGACGCCAAAACTGCTGTCGATCATTGCCCTGATTGGAGCTTGGAATCACGGGAGCACACGTCTGCGGTTGAAGAGTAGATTGGGTACACAGCCAAGGAGGTCGACTCCACAGCTATAAATTCTGTGAGGCTTGGGGGCCAACGCCTGTACTGTTCAGCATCCCACTCTGTCGGTGGAGTTATCGTGCTGAGGAATCCGAACTTTTGCGTGTGTGCCTCAGGGGCGGCCAAAGAGTGGTCCAGAGGACAAATTCCGCCTGAACCCTGTTGTTCCACGGCTGTCAGAGCTGTTGGGCTCCTCGGTGTCAAAAGTGGACGACTGCATTGGCAATGTTGTGGAGCAGGGGGCAGAAGCCATGGCCGATGGCAGCGTGAGTGAAGCACATGTCGATCGGAATAGGGACCTCACTCAGCGCTTTTTGGCTGCCTTCCAACCCAGCAGCTACACTTCATATCAAGAGTTTGCAGTTTGACAGATTGGCAAGATGCTGTTACTATTGTGTAGTGTGCAACTGACACTCCGCTGCCTGTAAGCAGGGCGCTGTTTTGTCCTGAACAGGCACATGCAGGGTCAGCGCGAATTTTCAACTTCTGTCCTAACTTCAGGGTGACAACGCACACTTCAGAATCTAAGAGGTCGTCCCCTGACAGCTGGCACTAGGGGGTTGTGCGGTTTCCTGCACCGTGGTCAGAATGATCGTTGATGTCCAGCTGTCACCAGCACACTGTCTTGTTCAGCATAGAGATGTTGCGACAAGGCGATGCAGGGAAACGACAAGCACCTTTGCCAAATGATATGGAATTTAGTTTGAAGAGTGTTTCTATGGCCAGTTGATTTGATTGTTCCTACCACTGGATATGTCACTGCAAGGCAATGCTCACCTTTTCTCACATCAGCCACTGTACACTCGATGTGTTCGAGTCCACATCCGAACTTCTGTCTTCGTTGATAGGTTTGGAAGCAAAGAGTTTAAGTTGCATTTGTGAGCACTGTTGTGGTAATCACTGATGATCCAGGTGCTACTGTTGGAGAATGTGCGCTTCTATTCTGAGGAAACCAAGAACGACCCTGGCTTCTCGGAGAAGGTGATTCCTGGTCCTTGTTTGTGCTGATGTGCGGACTGAGGGCATTGATTGCCTATTTGTGCACCTTGACAGTCCTAGGGAGATGTTCAATTCTTGAAATATTTTGCCTTTTTGTTGTCTCCTAGAACATGGATGAACACAGATTGGTGCCACAGTGTTGTGTAGAAGTCTGTGGGAGTCAACAGTTGCCGACAGTGTCCAGATGTGGCTCTCGTGTTTGGGACAAATGCGTTCCCTTCAACACAACCAGTGCGAACAAAATTCCCTTGTTTGCTGGGTGTGGGGAATGCTCAGTTGCTCAGTTGCAATTTCATGGCTGCTTGCCTTTGCAGTGGTCAAAAGGATGGCTTCATCGAGAGTCTTGTTTGATTCATTTTGTTTGAGTGCAACAAGGCCGGATATCTGCGCGCGCTGCACATGCGCGGTCCTCTGATCAATCCAACAGTGTGGCATCGTGCGGTCAGCCAGACTACCCTCATGTTCCTTGATGGTTATGACACAATCTGTATAGCTTTACAATGTGCTAGGGCCCAATAAAAATGGTCCTTGAGGCCTTGGCAGGCAATTGAATGCAAGCTAGTTTGAACATGAGTTGAACATGTTCAATCGCAGTGACCTTCAATCACCTAGATTTGGCTTCTTCGGATCAAGTTTCGCACACTAGTTAGAGCATGAAATGGTGCTCTAGTCGGTGCATGAACTCGCGCACCAGTTATTGGACGATTGAATGCAATGATTGCTGTACCAATCTGCGCATCAATTGATGCGCCAATAGGTGCAGTGACTGCAGCATGAAAACGAGGGCATGTCTTGAGCGATTGAACATAATCGCTTGGACTCACGTTTTATGATCCAAGCTATGTGTATTGAGGGGATGTCATGCACCAAATCGAGATGGTGCCTTGGGCATTGCACAGTTGGCCTTTATAGTGCTTCCTTTTGCGCCTTGCAACTGATAGTGTTTCGGCGCCTGCTCAAGATCAAATAATGTTGAGAATCTATGGGTCCATCAGAAAAGTAGATGGTAGCAAATGGGCTTTTTTCAGCTGACGTCCTCTTGTCCTCCTTGGCGTTCAAGGAGGGGTGCATAGTGGAGGTGCAAGTGGAGAATAGATTTGATTAATAGTATCCATTATTCCTGAGAGATTTTGTTTCCGTTTGTTATTGTTCTGTTTGTTTTTGGACGGGATTTCCATTGCAGGTTGGCATTTATTCCGCTCAGCACTTTTTTTCTTCAACGTTTTTTCATCTGTTGATCCGGAACATGAGCGAGCGCCTAGGAACGAGCGTGTTAGAGCGCACACTTGCAATGAGCTGCCCCTGGGAGGGGCGAGGGCGAGGCACAAGGTGGGGCAGCCCAAGCGTTGGCTGCTGACGCCTTGGTTGTCCTGCGACTGATTGCTGATTGACTACCGATTGACGAGCACCATAGCAAGCATTCGCTGTGGGATTGCCTGCTGTGTTGACCAAGTTGGGCGCCTTGATCTCCACTGGGTCGCTGCTCAATCGGAGACTATGGCTAGACAGGTGTTGTGGGCGATTGAGCGGCATACAGGCAGCCTGGACAACATCCTGCGGCTCACACCTTTCCGGATCGGCAGCGAGTGCTGGCAGAAGCAACCGCACGGGAGGCGCCAATGCTCCTGGCGCACATCGCCGCTGCGGGTAGCATGGCTGGGAGCCTGCGGGGTGTGAGAGGCCCCCACGGATTGACGCCTCACGGCCGACCAATCATGTCGCCTGTGGCGGACTCGAAGCCACACACACCCCCCTGTTGGCCCGGTTGGCTGCCCGCGAGCTGCAGAGGGGTACACGGATCGGCGCCTCGCAGCTGCCAGTTCGTGCCAGCCACGGTGGCCTAGCATGGCATCAATAGGCGACGTGAATGGGGGCCTGCGAGGTGCCAGAGAAGTGGCCCGATTGGTGCCTTGCGGGCGCCCATTTGTACCTCCCACAGTCGATTGGAATGGCCCCCCGCCGGTTGCACAAAAGGGTGCCCGCGAGGCACAAGAGGCATGAGAATATAGGCGCCTCGCAGCCGTCCATTCACACGAGTTGCGGTCGCCTGGAACAGGCCCTGCTGATGGCGCGAGTGGGTGCCTTCTAGGCGTGAGATGCGCTGCACGGATGCACCTCGTCGGCGCTCACTCACGCCGCCCGCCCTGCCTTGAAACGGGCCCTGGCGGTTGTGCAAATAGGCGCCCGCGAGGTAGGAAATGCCCAGAGGGTTTTGCGCCTCATGGGCGGCCATTCGTGCCAACCCCAGTCACCTAGAATGGGCCCTGCCGATGGCGCAAGTGGCCGCCCACGAGGCGCGGGATGCGCCATGATAGGCGCCTCACCAGCGCCCAATCACCCCGCCCACTCTCCCTTGAAACGGCCCCCGCCTGTGGCACGACTGAGCGCTCGCGAGCCACAAGAAGCATGGAGGTATCGACGCCTCGCGGGCACCCATTCCCGCTGCCCACGCTGGCCTGCAACGGCCTTCGCCGGTGGTGGGAATGGGTGCCCACGAGGCGGGGGAGGCATGCCCTAATTCACTGCTCGCGGGCCCCTATTCCCGCCGCTCACAGTGGCCTGGGATTGGGCGGGTGGGATTGCGTTGTGGATGGAAGGGCGCGTTGGCGGCGACTTCGCAATCGGCTGGGCATTGCCCACACCCTTGGTGCTCTTGCCCTAGCCCGGTTGGCCACGCCTCACCACACCGTTGTTCAAGGTGGCCGTAGTGGAACACCTGTGGCGATTCCCTCATGCACCCCAAGCGCAGCCATTGTTCATGTCCAGTAATGCAGTCATTCAGGTGTTCCTGACCACCAGCGGAATCGGCCCAAGCACGGTTGGGCAAGGGGCCTCATCTCAAATGTGTTTTCTCCTGCAGCTTGCTGCCAACGCCGAACTTTATGTGAATGATGCCTTTGGGACAGCCCATCGTGCACACTCATCCACTGAAGGGGTGACCAAGTACCTGTCGCCCTGTGTTGCGGGATTCCTGCTCCAAAAAGAGCTGGACTATCTTGATGGAGCTGTGTCCAGCCCAAACAGACCCTTCTGCGCCATCGTTGGTGGATCCAAGGTGTCATCGAAGATCACTGTCATCGAATCCCTCTTGGCAAAAGTGGACAAGATCATTCTTGGGTGAGCCTTCTACCTGCTCCTCCTTGTTGCCCAATCCTATACTGCCTGTGTCCCATACTCATTTCCTTAAATTCATACTGTGCCTGAGCTGAAGTTGGCCTCCACTCAAATGTCTGATAGTCAAATTGTTCACTTGCTCATGAAGGCTGTCATCCTCACTCTCCACTGAACTTGAAGGACATACCTGCATAGCATCGTGTTTCCTGTCACCTTGCAAAGTTGTTGTGGTGGCTGAAAGGCAGTGGGGCTTGCAGTTGCAAATGTCATTTTCGTGGGAGTGCCGAGCCACTACAATGTTTTGTGCTTTGTGCAGGGGTGGAATGGTCTTTACATTCTACAAGGCTCGGGGCATGAGTGTTGGAGACTCTTTGGTTGAGGAGGACAAGCTGGACCTTGCTAGGGACCTGGAGAAGAAGGCAGCAGACGCTGGGGTGGAGTTCATTCTTCCCACTGATGTCTGCATCGCAAACAAGTTCGCCGCCGATGCCGACTCGCAGATTGTATCTGCTGATGCCATTCCTGATGGCTGGATGGTGAGCTGGGTGCAAATGACGGCATGTCCCCAGAATAGCAGTGCAATTTTCGCCTCAGCATATTTCATGCAGTGTTTCAAAGTCCTTTTAACAGGAGAACTGTCAAGCAGGCCAGAATTTCGGGGGCACATGAGTGTTTGAGGTCACGAGATTATAGTTTGCAAATCGAGTTTTGGCTCTCGACACTTGACGAAAGCTCTTGAATTCTCACCAATACAAGGAACTTCAGAAATTCACTAGCCATCTGTGCTTCGCTGTCCCTGGCACTTGATGCCTGGTTGAATCTTGTCCTTGCTGACGCCGCAGCACATGAGGCATGCTGAATTGCTGTGTCTTTGCATGCATCTGGCTCACATCGTCTCAAAATTGCCTGCTGAATGGTTGGTGTGTTCTGGTAAGTGTAGGCTGAACGTACTGTGTGGCATGTAATTGCAATTGGTAGTTCAAACAGTTGTCCTCCTGCATGTGCGCGGTCGATTGCTCACTAGCTGATTTTGTAGCAGTTTGGTTGTTTACACATAAAACACAAGAATGAACAGAACACTTCGAAGTTACTCCCAGTTGTAATGTCGTCTCTCACAAGATGGAGAAATGTCTTTTGCACTATGAGCTGGTGGAGATCTAGATATACGACTCGTCTTTTCAAGAATTAGTGACACTGTCTGGCTGTTCCTGTGTGAAGGGTTTGGATATTGGGCCTGGGTCAATTGATTCTATCAAGGCTGCCCTCTCTGACTGCAAGACCATCGTGTGGAATGGACCTATGGGAGTCTTCGAATTCGAAAAGTTTGCCACTGGCACAACGGTGAGCCCTACAAAAGAATTCCCCTCACAGCTGACTGTAGTTCATGAGTTGGTATAGTTGCTTGGGTCCTTTCGGTCCTCAACAATTGCAGAGAGGGCAAAAGAGAAAGCATTTTAAAATTCTGTTTCAAGCACATTCACAGATTGCAAATGCACCTACGTGATCGAAGGCGATGTGGTGCAATGTATTAATGTATTTTCCTGCCTAGCTTGCAGAGCAGTGCAAGCATGTGGCAAATGTCAGCTGTCAACAACTTGCAATCTGCCAAACCCAGCTACCCAAAACTCTGCAGTTCGTCATGCTGGAAGCAGTCCAGGGATGCATTGGAATAACATTCAAGCGATTCTGCTTTGTTGCAGTGTCCATTGTGTCTGACATCACCAGTTTGGTGAATGGACTGTGTCAGATTATGACAAGTGAAAGAACTGGGAATTCTAAACACCTGGAATAGTAAATCAGATATGGCTGCAAATCAGTACTAGTAGAATGCCGTCTGCCCCCAGGCAATGAGCATTTACACCTCGATGTGTGCGCTTCCATGCTGCTGGCAAGGGCTACCTCTTGTGCATGGCATTGAATGGGCGTGAAATGCCACTGCTCAGTGCGAAAGTGTCAATAATGGTGATGAAACATGCTGGATATCTCACGGCAAAGGCGATGCAGTGCATGTGGTTACTGCATTCATGCAACTAGTTTCCAAATAGATTTCCTCCAATGTGATGGCCACTCTGCATTTGTCACGTGACAATTTTGTTATCAGGACCAAAGCATTTGCGTTGGTGTTGTTGCTGCTTTGCCTGCCACTGCTTTCAACATGTGACAGTGATGGACAGTTGAGCGCTGGAATAAGTTTGCTTAAAACCTGTCACTTTGTTCTAACTGTTTTATGCTGTGTGCTGTGGTGGCAAGGCTGTGGCTAAGTATCTGGCAGAACTGACAGGGCAGGGCTGCACGACCATCATTGGCGGTGGTGACTCAGTGGCAGCAGTCGAGCAGGCAGGCCTGGCACCAAAAATGAGCCACATTTCCACAGGTAAGCACCCTTCCCACATTGTCTCTCATGACTGCGAAATATGTCCCATCCAGTGTGATCCTGTCCTATCCCAGGTCATCACAGTTGGGCTTGTGGTGGTGCTGCACCTATTTGGCAAATGTTATCCATGCATGTGGGTTTGCATCCCATGAACATAGATCGCAACTCGATGAACAGGATTGGTGCCCCACAAATAGAACTGTGACAGGGGAATTGGCGTCCATCAGGTGATGTCAGTTCTCTCTGGGTTGGCAGGAGCCACCACACCTTGTGTGTACTGTGCCTTCATCGGTTTCTGCAGGTCATTGACATTGCAGCACATCATTCTGGCATATTTTGCCAACCCTACATCTTGATGCCATGAAAAGAGTTCACCTGCCAGCCGATTGCTACACCTTGCACTATGTATAGTCCTAAAATCCTTGCCTTGCTTTGGGGATTTCGCAAATCCCATGGTTCAAGCCTTACCCGCTTTTCTTAGCTTCAGTGCCCTGGACGGTGATGTGCCCTGTGCAATATGTGCGAATTGGGCGGCGTACATAGCCTCTTGTCAGCACGGTTGTCCTGGTGAGATAAGCAACTTGTGCGCACTGGGAGGTCAAAGCCCCAACACCTCATTCCAATTCCCGGAGTATAGTCTTCATAACGTCTACCTCTCTGTTGGTGCTGCTTGTCTTGCTCCACATTTCTGCAGCATTGGTGCAGCATCCACAGGAGCATATTTGCTTAGGAGCGCCCATCATATGATGATGCTTCTGATTGCATGAATGCAGGGTATCTGTCAACATGGCGATTTGGTGTGTTGATGCAGGTGGCGGTGCTTCGTTGGAGCTCCTCGAAGGCAAGGTCCTTCCTGGCGTTGCCGCCCTCGATGAGGCCTAAATCCTGGCGGCGACGTTCTTCAGCGGCTGGCAGGATGTTCAAAGAGTTTTGATGTTTCGGAAAGTTCACGCATTTTGAATTGGCTTACTCAGGAATTGATTCGACCCACTTCTTTCAATTGTTTGTCGAGAGCAAATGGTGCATATAATTTTATAGCCAGATTTTGCTGCAGCAGTCTGCTGGAATAATGCCAGTTGGGCGAAGTTTGGCCAGCATTCATTGCACCTGTCTTAACCAGCGGGGTAGGTGCAGCAAGAAGAGGGCGCATTGTGACTGCCGTTGTGCAACTCCAACGCCCTCGAAGGACGCCGCACGTCTTCAAAGTTCAGGTTGAGCTGCTGTTGAAGCGATATCTGCGGGAAGCAAGCTGCGGATATGAACACATCCACGAATTTAATGACCGTTTCTTCCTCTCCGCCTCAGCATTGGGTGCTGTGACCTGCGCTCCTGAGACGCTCTATGTAGCTGCGCCAATTGCCCTACAATGTGCATTCATTCCCATGAAAATCTACAGCGGGCAGCCAGCAACTCCACCCGCGCTCTGCACAGCAGGGAGCGCTGCTGTGTCAGTGATCCCAAGCTACCGCAGAGAAGGCATCGGCAAGGCTTCGCCAGTCACACGGATTCGCCATGGCATACAACAGCAGCCAGATGCCGCAGGCGAACCCTTGCGTGCCTACCCCTGGTGACCCCATGCAGCTTGCCCGTGGCTGGGGCAGGAAGAGCTCATCAAGGATTTAGAAGGCCTTGACCTGGGGACCAGGCACGTATGCCAAACGGCAACCACACTGTGCAGCAACTCTTGGCCTCCCACGAAGCACGCTTCTGAGGGGTGGGACATAGCGACGACCATCAGCCAGGCCACCCCAGCACCCTGTGTTCGGGCACGGTCGGGGATCCAACTCGCAGGACATTGTTCATCTCCACCATGGCTCGTTTGACACTGTTGGAACGCCTGGCAGGTAGGACCCATTTCGGCAGTGGCTTGGGCGCAATGCACTGGAAAGTATCGGTCACCTTGGAAGCCGAAGAAGCCATTGAACTTTCAGAATTCCTCCCATGTCTGCAGCTGGCCCTCAGCCCTGAAGCCCTCGGCGGATGTGGCGGCGGTGGACCGGTACCCTCTCCAAGTGGAGGGGGTGGCCACTTACAATGCCACGTAACCACTGTTCGGGTCGCCAATAAATGGGGATCATCCAAAAATTAGTAATTTAAGGATATTACTCCGCTAGCGACCCGTACGATCCAGAAATGATGCAGAGGGGATGTCGACAGCCTCAGCACCTTCGTCACAC